GCCAACTGCTACACCGGGCACTCTGGAGTTCGCCTATAGATATGAACAGAAGATGCAGGAGGATGTAGAACACATGCAGAAGGCACAGGCAGCAATGATAGAGTCTGAGAATAGACACCGCCGCCCTTCTACATTTCAGGTAGGGGACAGAGTCTGGGTCAAATCTTTAGAACTAGGACAGGAGTTCGGGATATCCCACAAACTCATGCCTCAGTACTTTGGACCTTGGGAAGTTTTAGACGTAGTAGGGATAGATCCTGATGGTCCATCATATGTCATCCGTATCCCTGGTCATCTCAGAACTTACCCAGTCTTTCACGCCTCTAAGCTCGCTGCATTCGAGGAAACTGATCAGTTTCCCTCTCGTCGATCCATGCTGCCCCCAACCATGGACGGAGAAGTCGACATCGATGATATCGTTGACCACAAGGAGACGCCAGTTCAAAAGCCTCCAGGAAGGGGACGTCCTCCAAAACCAAAACTGCAGTTCCGAGTCCACTTCAGATATCATACAGATCCGAAGGAGGACCGCTGGTTTACTCGGGAGGAACTGATGCAGACCGCTCCTCAAATCGTTGCCCGCTATGAGAAGGATGCACTGAAAGGAAAGCGCCAGATGGCTACAGATTGATCTTCGAAGAGGACTAACGAAGATATGGAGGAGGGAATGCGAGGCTACGCCCGCTTAGCCCCTACTGGGCCCTATCTGCAACAAGGTCGGCCGCCCTAAGTGAAGGCAGGCACGGCAGGCCCTTCGGGCCTGATTCTTCAGGGTACCCCGCAACGGGGAAATTCAGACAGTTGCATTGCGCCAGTTGGTTGAATGAATCCAGGCCCTGGGACGCCTGTGTAAATGAATGTGAAGCAGGCCCTGGGCTGGATACGGGTACCAGGCCAAACACAGGCCGAAAGCAGTTGGGCGCATGCAACCACATCAGGCCCCAGGCCTGCTCCCTTCGTGACTGGGCCTGTGCCTACCGGGGCCTACCGGAAGTTTCCTGGACTGGACGCAGGCAGGCCACTTCGATATAGGGAAGGGCCTGCCTCCTCATTCGGCATTCGGGTGCTGGCTGCATGCTGCGTGAGCGCTGCTGCGCAATCCGCTGGCTGGCTGGCACTCACGCTCTCACG